GCTACATATGTGACATGTAAAGGGACACTCCTTCTTTCTGCCCAGGTACTCTGCTCGCAAGGAGGGAGGGCCTGAATCACCCCCCTCCTTGGCTTCTTCATGGGAAGAAAAAAAGCTCCCTTGTGAATATGTTGTGGGGGTGAGGGGATCTTCTGCTGTGATGTCCCACAGTCAGCTTTTGTGTCACTTCCTGCCTTTGCTTAGGAGGGACAGCACCTGCATTGGCTCAGAGTTCTCACTTACACCCTGGGGTGCCCTCCTCCATGGGCTCTAAGCTGCCAAAGGTCAGAGTGAGCAGCCCAAGGGACTCTGGAGATGTGCCCAGGGTTCCCCAAGGCCTGCAGCAAGAACATGGGGCCCAGGGCTTCCTCAGAGCTCCTGTGAGTGAAGGGGTCATTCATGGGACAGGATGTGAGCAGGCAACAGAAACAGGCAGTGGTAGGTTTGGGTCCTGCAGGGGAAATGCTGGAGGTCAATCTAACACTGTGGCTTTTGTTTCCTGATGTCCCAGGGCTTGGAAACCAAGACCCCAGAGAGTCACAACTGAGACTAGTCTTAGTGGGTAAGACTGGAGCCGGAAAAAGTGCCACAGGGAACAGCATCCTTGGGAAGAAAGCGTTTCAGTCCACCATTGCAGCAAAATCCGTCACCAAGGCCTGTGAGAAAGGGAGCTGCATGTGGAGTGGGAGAGAAACTGTGGTCGTGGACACACCTGGCCTTTTTGACACCGAGGTGCCAACTGCTGACACACAAAAGGAGATTGCTTGTTGCATCCTCCTGATGTCCCCGGGGCCTCATGCACTGCTCCTGGTGGTCCCACTGGGCCAGTACTCAAAGGAACAGCAACAGGCTGTGGAAAAAGTACTAACGATGTTTGGTGCCACAGCTAGGAATACATGATTCTCCTATTTACCTGAAAGGATGACTTGGATGGTGTGGCATTCTATGATTCCATAAAGGAAGCCCCAAAGTTCATTCGGGAGCTGATGAAGGAGTTCAGGGCTCGCCACTGTTTGTTCAACAATAAGGCAACAGGGGCTGAGCAGGAGGCCCAGAGGGCACAGCTGCTGGACCTGGTCCAGTTCATGGTGATGGAGAATGAGGGGGGATTCTACACTAACGAGATGTACCAAAGGGCCGAGGAGGAGATTCAGAAGCAGATCCGAGTGATAGAAGAGCAGTGCAGAGCTGAGCTGGAGAGGGAGAAGAAGAGGATAAGAGAGGAGTATGAGGAGAAAATCAGAAACCTGGGGGACATACAGGAGAAGGAAAAGAGAAAGGCAGAAATGGAGAGGGTGCTGGCAGAAAGGGAAAACTGCTGTGTTTCAATGCAGCAAAACACTGGGGTGAAACTGAGCATCAGAATAAGATACTTGACATCATCATAAGAGCTTTCAATGTTGTTGGCGTTGCTCTTCAATGCGTGTTCAAAGCCCTGGACAAAAAATGAAAATCTGTCCATATTTCCTGCATATTTTCTGGTGCCACTTCCTCCTAGAAATTGTTCCCCAAAGTCAGAGCCACCTGCTTCTGTCCCTCAGGCTCTCAGGACTAGGGAGGGCTAGAAAGTTCACTGTTGGCCATTGTTGGCCATTTAATTGATTTCACAGGGGAGGGACATGTGTCCAATCTGTAAAACTCCATAGCAGAATATACAGATGTTCACTGTGACCTGAACTCTTTCTCAGACACACACAGAAAAGGAATACAGAAGACCAAAAGTCGGTGGCCCCAAGCTTGGTCTATTTGTCCCCAGTAACTGTTTCTCCTCCAGATTCTTTCTAGATTGGCAGATAATCTCCACCTGTGGTTCTTCTCCTAATTTTTGTCTTTAGGGCCACAGTGATCACTGTACCCAAGTGTCTAGTGAAGTCAGCTCTTTGCATTTAGTAATCTATACAGAGAGATGCTTATAGAATTCTTTCTTGAAGAACATAAATTTGTTGAATTACATTTTTATGGAAGGACTCAGATTGTTCCTTATTAACGGCTCACTAAAGAACAAAGACCTGTCTGAAAAACAGATCTTCTAGAACTCAGCAAAGTGAAATGCCAGAAAAGGTAAAAGACACAGATTCAACAAGAAAGAGAGCATCATTTGGAACATTCAGCTGTTTCTGTAGAAACTCTTTGACCAACCTCAATGCGAGCATGTTGCTGAATGACTATTCCTCTCCTTTTCTTGGGAAGCCAACTGGTGCCACCGCACCTCCATCTCCCTGCACCCTGATGACTCTCTGCTGGAAGGGTGGTCTGCACACTGCTGCCCCACCCCCTGAATTGTTTGCTTACTGTTACTACAATAAAACTTTTCTATTCTCTTGAATTTGTGCAAAAAATGGCAGTCTTTTACCATGGGAAATACCACTGATATTTCTTCTAAGAGCACAGGGATGAGTTTTACTTTTTGGTAAAATTATAAAATGATTATGGAGCTTGGCTTCTCTACACCCTAACAGATCTCCCCTCATTCTTCTTGGATTCATTCATTCAGGTTTGTCTAGAAATTACATGTAATCAAGGTTTCTGAGACCTTTGCAGATTTCCTGGTTACAAATGAGATCCCTTTATTGCATGGATAACAGTAGTGCAAATCTACCCCTTCTCTTCTGGGGACTCCTATCAGAGTAATTTCTAGGAGCTCCCAAAGCACATTTCCATGTTCAACCGGCACGTCCTGGTGGTCACACGCCCGAAGGGAACTTCAGTGGTCTGCCTGGAGAATGAACCAAGGGACCACAGTGTAGGTCAGGTCTGGTCACCACTGGCCAAAAGGGAGGGAGGACAGTCTGGTTCCTTTTTTCAGAAAAGTAAAAATAATAATAAGAAAAAATGGCTTCACATCCCGAAAGAGACCAACTGCTTTGCCTTTGTGAGAGGGGATAATTTATGATGTGTCTCTCTCTGCTGGGTGGTAGGATAAGCTCTTCCTCCTTCTAGAAGGAAAACCATCAGCTTGGTGCAGTAATGCCCAGTGCTACTTGGGGGTCCCCTTCCTGTGACTTCCAAAATCTCAGTGACAAAACCAAAGGCTTTGCCAAAGGCATGTATGGAGCTACAGAAAGCTCTATACATGCTGTTACTGTGGGGCCAGAGACAGAACTGAATTGCAGGTCTGGGTGACCTGGACATGACGGACAGAGGACAGTGGCACATGACTGAGGGCCCAGAGGGAAGCACCAGGGGGCAGGGGCGAGGAGCTCAGAAAGTTCTTCTAAGAGCAACAAGCTCGGGACCATCTGTGCTGTGAACATGTTCCCTGAGCCAAGTTCCCCCAGCTCTCCCAAGGGTGGGGGAAGAAATCTTTGGTGAGGGCCTTGTGCACACCAGGTGCTTGGTACAAAGTGGGGAGTAAAGAAACTAATACTTTGTCCCCATCATGCCAGCATCAAACAGGTGAGGCCTGTTATGTCTTCGATGAGACGGAAACATTTCCATAGGAAGGTCAGGTAGAAGGTAAATCGGCAGGTGGACCATCCAGCTGTGCTGAATCCTCTGTCCTACACATGGCACCACAGTTGGTCCTGCTGTGTTCTCTGCATCACAGGGAAGAAGTGGGGGGATGTTCGTCATCATCCCGTTGCTGATCGGTCCCTGTCAGGGTCTGCCCCTGCAACCTGAAGCAGATGTTCTCACCATGAGGGACTGGTGCCAAATAACAATTCAATGTCTTATCTGACAGGTTGAAAAGATTTGATAACACCTGTACCACCATGTTAAATCCCCCCCCCACAAGTTCACAACATTCTTCAAAGATTTGGGAATTCTTTAAGACTTATGATATTACTTGGCCAAATGTCTTGTATCTCATTTCCCCTATAGCTCTAAAGAAAAATGCCTGAGAAGGCTTGGCAGGTGGCGGGGAGGGGCAGGGAGAGGGAGAGGGTTGCCCAGAGGAAACAGAGGGAAGAGGAGGAAGAGGAGACATAGGTTGGAGACTTGTGTGGGCAGGGCTGGACCCCCAGATCCACCCCAAATCCTCTCTTGAGCAGCATCTCTGCTTGTGGAAGTCCGGAGGGGCAACATCAGAGGGAGAAAGTGAAAAAAGGTGAACAATGGGAGAAGAGGAATCTGAAATGATACCAACCCCTGGCATAATCGGTTTGGAAAGGCAAGAGAAGAACGGCAATCCCAGGTGCTCCCCCATGTCATCCCCCCGACACGCACACTGTCCCGCTGCATCCTGGGGCACTGGATGCCTTAGACCACTGAGACAGAACATATTTTTATTTATTTAAAGATTTTATTTATTTATTTTTAGAGAGGTGAAGGGAGGGAGAAAAGAGAGGGAAACATCAACGTGTGGTTGCCCCTCCTGTGCCCCCTACTGGGGACCTGGCCCACAGCCCACCTAAAGGCCTTGACTGGGAATCCAACTGGCATCCCTCTGATTTTCAGGCCGGCCCTCAACCACTGAGCCTCACCAACAAGGGCTGAATGAATTAACCTACCAGGTAAACAATAAACATTTAAATTAATTTATCAGGTTGTCCTAATGGAAATGCAAATGGTTTGAACTTTGACTCAGCAGCTCTGAGGTAATGAGACTGCTCACTTAGAAACATGATGACCTTGACTCCCCTGACGTTGAAGTACTGACTCTTTACCTGAAGTAAGTGCAGGGCTGGGGGCCGATTCCACCAGAATGCCAATAAGGTCCCATTCTGAATGTTACACCAGGGATTTTAATTTTCATGTAGAAGAATAACAAGGGAAATACAATAATGAGGAAATCAAAGCCATTGTGATCAAATCAATACTTTATGCACAAGGAGGAGAAAAGTAGAAGATGGAACAGAACTGAAGTCCTGACGCGGGTCTTCGGCAGCACGCACACGTCACAGGGAATATGGCTGGGTTCCGTCCACGGCCTGTGGATGGCTGATTGAGTAAATGGATCTGTCTCAGATGCCCACTAAACTGGGTCTTTGTTCTGCCCTGAGACGCTTCCCTGAAACTTTCAGCCAATGAAACACACTGGCTTCCTTGGTGTCCCCCTGTGTCTGGAGACAGTGGGAGTCCATGGCCTCTGCACTGGGAGACCAGGGTCCTGATGGGGCCCCTGACAGCAGAGGATCTCTGATGGGCAGGTGAGCACCCAGACAGTCCTGTGGCTGCCTCTCTGATTGCTGACTGTCCCCAGATGCTGTCCCCTCACCCTATTTTTTACCCCTCTCTGAAGAAGGCAGCTAGAGACCCTCTGTCACATGGTGTGAAGAAGGGACAGAGGAGTCTGTCGGGGGCAGTTCCCTCGTTCCCACCTGTCCTGTTTCCATCACTTGGTCAGACTCCCCAGAGAGCATCCTGAGCCTCGGAGAAGCTGAGGGGCATCTGAGGAGTGTCAGTCTCTTTGTGAGGTCACACGGCACTTACCAGTCGCAGGCCAGGGCTGACCACCATCCTGATGTCTTCTGGTCCTGGTCCACCTCACCTCCTGTGGCCTTGTCCCCAGGAGCTTCTCTCCAGGAAGACCCCCCATGGGGCACAGAGTCCTCCCCACCCATCAGGCAGGTGCTTCCTACCGTGCTCACAGCCTCAGCTGCTCCCTTTGCAGCTTCCCTTTCTTCCCTGCACCCCTCTATCTGACACCACAGATACCTCAGAGAGGACCCCACTACACACCCAGACACTGACCCCATGCCCCCTCTCTCCCCACTGTCCAGTGAGAATGGAAGGGCTGCAGGTAAGGCTGAGACAGGGTGGAGAACCACCTTTAATTTCTAACATCAGGAGGCAGATATGATGAGAGGGGACCCTAATCATAGCATCCCTAATCTAGTCTGCTTCAGGGAAGGCTCCTCCTCTGCCCAAGCCCCCTTGACACCTCCTGGGGCCTCATGTCCTGTAGGAGGTCTTGGGCCACCACCCTGACCAGGCCCTGCTCCTTGGACCCCCTGGCCCCACTTGGCTCATCATTCCCACCAGCAGTCCCCACAAGGCCCATTTGCTGTGGTTCAATGGCCGCCTTCAGGGGTGAGTGAAAGAGCTGCCCCTTGGACCAGGTCTCTCCCCTGGCTCCTCCTGCTCCACCCAGCAACTGCCCCTCCCCACATGCTGCAAAGCCACAGCTCTGTCCTGACCCACCACACACTCAGGTGCCTTAGAGTCGTTATGCTGCCCCCTCTGTGGGTGAGGACACAGACCAAGACTGGACAGTCACCTGGTCAATGGCACACACTGATTTGCTGTCATTGGTAAGGAGTCACTCCAGTGACCAGAATGCAGTGGGGGTGACATGGAAGAGTGAGGAGGCCCTGCCCTCATGGAGCTTTGGTTCACTCGAGGAGAGAGAAGAACTTCAACAAATGTGATGCCATCGTTCTGTGCGGTCCGTGTGAGACAGCGGGCTGCAGGGGAGCAGGGAGGGCGCACATGGGCTCCGAGAGCGAGATGAAGGACCGGGATGGGAGCTGGGACTCAGCAGACTCTGCCCTGGAGACCCAAGGGGTCTGGGAGCCATGGGATGCAAAGAGAGGCGACAGGCTGTGAGGTGGACAAAGGGTTGGGGAGACTCCCAGGAAATGCCTGTTCCCACTGGAGTCAGCACACAGTCAGACGGTGCCCCTTTAGGAGATGTCTGTGGGTTTTCTCAGTTGCCCTGGATTCTGTACAGCCAGCCCAGCCAGGACTCTGCAGTGGCTGCTCCCTCGGAGCCTCGGTCTGAACCCTCTGCCCTCCCTGCCTTTCTGTGCACAGGAGGTGCAGCTGGCAGCATCGGGTAAGCCTCCTTGCTGTAAGGACGGCCTTCGTGTTCCCACAAGATCACCTCGATGGTCTTTATCAGCTCCATCAGCTGGGCCTCCTGCACTGCGCTATCTGCCCTGTTGTTGAAGCCACAGTGGCGCCTCGCACAAACCACATCCAGTTTTGCGAGCTCCTGGTTGTCGGTGTCCCGCAGATACTCCTCCAGGGAGCCGCCCCCCAGGTCCTCCTTCCGAGTGAATACCAGGATGGTGCGGGCCAGGACACCCAACCCAAAGACCTCCTGGAGGCGCCTGACCACCTCCTGGTCCTCCTTTGTGAAGCGGCCCAGCTGTGTCACCAGCAGCACTGCGTGTGGCCCTGGGGCGCAGCAGGCGACAGCTGCCCAGGGACCCTGAGCTGCCCCTTCCTGTGAAACCCGAGAGGACAGAATATCGGGGGTGTCGGTCACCTCAAGCTCCTTCCCAGCCCAGTCTCGGCAGTCATGCTGGAAGGTCATGGTCACGGGTCTGGCACTGAGCTTGGATTCGAAGGCTTCCCTGCCCAGGATGCTGTTTCCTGTGGCGCTTTTCCCACTTCCACTTTTCCCCACCAGCAGGAGCCTCAGCCTCTTTGGGATCTTTTCCTTCTCCTGCAGATCTAGAAGCATCGAGACAAAGCAGGGAGGTGGGAGTTATAGCCCATGTACCCCATTTAGCCTCCTCAGAGTCCTCAGCCCTGGATGCTCATGGCCCCAGGGGCTGGCTCTGCTGGAAGGAGGGACAGGAGTGGCATCTGTACAGGAGACCTGCTCTGGGTCCATGTTCCTTTTTTTAAAAACTGTTTTATGGTGGAAAATACACATAAATATTTCAAATCCCTGTTGTCACTGGATTTTGGTGTGCAATTCAGTGGCACTGTGCACCTTCACATTGCTGTGCGATTGTCACTCTTATGCATCTCTTGAATTTTTTGTCACCCCCAACTGAAACTCTGTCCCCATGAAACGGCAACTCCTCATTCCTCCCTTCCCCTGAGCCCCGGCTCACTGCCAGCCTCCTTCCTGCCTCTGTGACCTGTGCTCTTCTGCTCTCCTAGGGGCCTCAGAGACCTGGGTCCCTGCACTTTGACCTTCTGTGTTGGGTTCCCTTCACTCGGCATCACAGTGGTGTCAAGCCTCACCCACCCTGCAGCCTGGTCAGAATTCCCTGTTTGTGCAAGGCCAGATACTATCACATGGCATGGATGGACCACACTGTGTTTACTCTCACACGTGGGCACGAGCCGTTTGCACTTTTTCCTACTGTGAATGATGCTGCTGCGCACCTTAGTGGACTAATGCCGGTTCGAGTTCCTGATTGGGTTCTACGGGGCAGATACCCAGAATGCAGTTGCTGGATAATGTGGCAGAATACCATGTTTTTGTGTTTAGGTTTAAAATATCTTCTCAGGGTCATGTCTTCTCACCTGGATAGAATCAGCGCAGGATGAATGGGGGACCCTGAGCTTTCCTGGGTGTCCCTGATGATGAGGGCAGAGGTGTGGCCTCTGTGTCTGTGTCTTGTCCCCGAGTGTCTGACCCCATCACTTCCCTCCACTTTTCCACATTGACCGTGGGGAGGGTGGTGCCTTTCAGCTGGACCCCGGGCTCCACTGCACAGAGGCTCCCCGGGGGCGCATTCCTAGGCTCCATCCTGGACACCTGGGCTGGATGTTCCCGCCCAGCTGCATACAGGACAGGGGCAAAGAGGAGACATGGACATGCCAGCCTGACATTGAAAACCTGCTGTGAGGGTTTCAGAAGTGACTGGGGTCTGAGGCTGGGAGGAGAATTCCTTCCCCCGGCCTTTCACCTCATCCCCGGAGCAACAGACAGGTGCCCAGTGACCCTCTGGTCCCCCACGTCTGCTCCATAGTGAAGACATTGGTGTGTCTCAGTGACAGAGCCCAGACACCTAAGGCATGCCTGGAGTCCTTGGCTGGTGGACCCAGCAACCAACTCTGGTTGAGGATGCTGATTCCTCCAGCTCCCCCCACGTGGCTTTGAGAGGAATGTGGGTGAATCGGGGGTGTGGGGGGTGTCAAAGAAGCAGGGAATACAGAGTGCTCATCCCTGCCGTCGCCACCAGTCTAGAGCCGGACCAAGACAGGAACTCCCACCTGGGTAGGTAGGAGCCAGTGCACGCCGAGCACACCACTCAGGCTACAGAGAGGATTCTAAAAGTAATATTGAACCTCGATTGCCATGAGAACGGCTCAATCAAGTGACAGTTCTTGTATCAGTAATTTTCCCATGCAGTGTATTAATAGGGTTTTCTCCCAATGACTTGGGCCATTGAAGTTCATACACTAAATAAATCATTGGTGTCCAATACATAATGAATCACAAATAAATTCTTCTGGCCAGGAACATGGACACATTGCCAGCACTCCCTAATTCTGTCTCCCCCGGTTAGATGATGAGGTCAAACCCATGACTCTCAAGCCCCTGACCCCAATGCAAAAGCTTTGGGGGAAGAGCCCTGGGGAAGGGCCAGCCCAGCCCTGAGGCAGCCCCTCACTCACTCCTTCAGTGGTGCTGGGTGGCCCTGCTGACCCTCAGCGCCCCCCCCACCAGAGTCAGCCCATTGCCCCCAGTGGGCTTGGTTGGGTGCAAGCCTCTGCCACGGGGAGTAGTTATCGCACACTCACCTTCCTAAGGGTGTGGCTGGAGCCATCGGTTGCCCCCTCTCTCCCACTGTGCTACTCGGGGTCTTTCCCTCTTATTTGGTGGGGTAGGCAAGGACCCACCCAAGGGCCCTGTGCAGGGTGAAGCCCGGCTGATTGCACTCCGCTGCCTCCTCAAGTGCACCCCTGCACACCCACGTCCCTGTGCACTCCTCCCTCAGGGCCACCTATGCTGCAAGGCTGTGGTACCTGCTGACACATCTTGGGTAGGATGCTGGGACGGCGCTCCTGCACAGCTGTCCCAGAGAATCAGCTCGTATTCTTCATCCTCCACCTGGAGAAACAACATGTCTGTCTGAGTTTCACCTGTGCCTCACAAGGCAGCTGGCTTTGCCTTTCTCCTGCCAGAAGGAAGTGTTTGCATTGCTCTGGGGGATGGACTGAGAGAGGAGGGGGAGGAAGGTCTGAGACATGTTCTACCTCCTTCAGGGACCCTGTTTCTTTCTCTTTGCTCCTGGGTCCCCATCGTGAGTCTAGGTGATTTCATGGAGAAGGAGCCATCGGCCTGCAGCCTAAGGCACAATGGCGTTGGGGTGGACAGAGGGTCCTGGGACTCCCTGTGAGGAGGGAAAGAGCAGAGATGAAGAAGCAGGTCTGATGGTCTGTTCTAGGAGTGGTGGGAAGATGAGCGGCCAGACTGGGGCCATGAGCAGGAAGCTGTGGTGCGGGGTGGGCTGGGGGCAGGTCCTGGTGCCCAGATGATGCCTGAGGACGACCTGGCCGAGAGGGTGGCCGAGGGCTCAGAGGTGGGTGGCCAGGTGCTATGGTGAGGAGGTCCATTTCCCTGGCACAGGAATTTGACAGTGTGGGGACAGTCTTGCTGGGAGCCAGGGGACCTCAGTGCCCAACTTCATGGCCATCTGTTAGCGTGGTCACACTGCCTGGGCCTCAGAGTCCCCCGCAGTGTGAAATCTGGGCTTCAACTAGATGTCCCTGTGGTCCCTATAGCATCCCAACCCACTTCACGACATTTTCTAGAGCACGTCCCAGTCTTTGCAGAGAGGGCCCTGTCACCCTACCAGGACCTGTCATCACCCTTCTGGGGCGAGAGTAGTGCACCTGCCACCTCCCGCACCACCTCACAGACCGACATGGTTCCCTGTCTCAGCAGCCCGTCCCGCTGCATCTGCTCCCTCTCCCCTGTGGCCTGGGGATGGGAAGTACGCAGCCCAGGACTTGTCTGCCGGGACACACAGGACACTGGGAGACACTCACAGTCAGGGAGTGTCTCCAGGTGAAGGCCCCGAGTTTGGGGACACCTGTCCCTCAGAGCCTCCACAGATCCTGCCCTCAACGGTGCCTGACACCTCCGACCCCTTCCACTTTGTCTCCCTTGGAGAACACGGAGCAGGCGGGTTACCCTGCTGCTCCTCAGGAAGAAAGTGGACCTCACGGAAGCGTCTTCCCCTTGACTAGACTAACCGGGGTTTGAGGCAGGACACGGAACGCACAGAATCCTCTTCTCCTCTTAGTCACAGCCCCTTGTAATGTTCCTCAAAGACACACACAGACTCGACACACACGCACCAAAATCAACACACTCTCATAAACACGACACAGACCGCTCCCACAATGCACTCCCCATAGAACACCCAGCTACTCACAAACATACCAACACAGAAACACACATATTCACACCACACGTGCACACACACAAATGTAACACACAAACACAATGCAAAATGTCCAGACATATACACTCACGCACAACACACACATACACTCACAAACACAGCACACACATAAACATCCACAATGTCCACACATACACACTCATGCACAACACACACATACACTCACACAGCGCACACACAAATAACTATGCACAACTCATATGCAGACATAACACATATAAACACACACATTCACACCTACACCCTCAGACATACAAACACAACACATGCAGAACCACACCACACACTCACAAATACAACATGTACATAACATATACACACAACCACAACACACACAGACACACTCACCACACGTTTGGACTTACCACCCCGCTGGCCGCCGGACCAGAGGAAGAGCCTGGACTCCTGACCCCCCGGACCAAGTCCTCTGGCGAGTTGTCCCTTTCTCCATTTGGGGCCGACTCTGTAGGCTTCTGGGGGCCGTGGCCGGAGGAATTTAAGGCAGCCTCACTGGCGTTTGAACAAAATAGGGACATTGCTTATATTTTTCAGGAAAATGTGACGGAACTCTCGCTGAGCTGCAGAGCTGCGCTGGAAGGAGCCGCTGTCTGCTGTGAGGGGGAACAGGAAGGGGGCGGAGCCCCGGGGCCAGGCCTGCCTGAGTCGGATGCGTGCAGTACCGTGTGCGTGTGGTCTGCGGCCTCAGTGATGTGAACAGGAAAAACAAGGGCAGGAGAACATTATTGCTTTCATTCTGAACCAGCTTAACCAGAACTCAGAGGCTTAAAAAAGGCAGCAGGCCCTTCCGAAAACTGTGTGCTAGGGGGATGGCTTTTTACTGATTTCTCTTTTTGAGAACGGGGGATTCACACAGCTATCTCTGCCTTCCCTATCGTGACAGAAAGTCCTTGTCCCTTTTCTTCCCCTGACTCATCCTTCCTTTGAATGTTTTCTCTCAGAACAAGGCCTTGGACTGGAACTGGAACATCTGTTCTCTGAGTCTTGAGCAGGATGTCTTCAGGTGGGAGCCACAGCGCCGTCTCCTGGGTCTCCGGCTTGCTGACTGCAGATCTCAGGACGTTCGCTCCAGGATCACACGAGCCAGCTGCTTATGATGAACCATGCGAGCACACTCACTATCATAAATAAGTGTTCCTTATAATAAACACATCTTTCCGTACACACATATGTGGGTGTGCACACACTCACACGCATTCTGTACCTGGCAATTCCAAATCTGTGTCATAGCTGAGCGGCCCTAATGCTGGCTTCGAGTTTTCGGGCTATGTCTTTTCCTGCCCGTTAGCGTGAGCGTGACCTTGGGGTCAAATCCCACTCTCAGCGGGCCTGTGCCCCTGTGCGGTGTCACAGTTGTTTTTGTTTTTGTTTTTAACTTTCCCATCCTCATGCCCCCTTTAGCTGACACAGGCCAAACACAGTCCCTTCTCAGTGTTTCCTCCTCATGTTATCACAGTGTCTTTCCTCCGCGTGCTCAGGTCTTGGCGACCCCCCTTCAGTTACGTGAATGCTTCGTCCCATCCTTTCCCTCTGGAACTTTTGGAAAGAATGGAACTCATTACTCATGGGTCTCTGGCGGTGCCTGTGTGAGCACACTTACTGCACTGCACGTAAACGTCCTACACACCGGGTTTTCACTGTGCCTCTTCCGTGTTCTGATACTAAAGTACTTACCGTCCTACTTCAAGCCCCCAGCGGGCCCGTCCACAGTTACTACGTGTTCCTGAGTCTGTTCCCTGGGCCGCACTTTACACCCCGTGGCTGCTCTGTGACCGCAGCCTGTGCTTCTCCATCCCTCCCGCTTCCTCGCCCAACTCCCAGCCTTCCTCCCTGCTGGCGGCCCTCAGTGTGTTCTCTGTTCCTGTGAGTCTGTTTGCATTTTGTCCATTTATTTTGCTCCTTAAATTCAACATAAGAGTAAAATCATGTGGTATTTGTCTTTCTCTGTCTGACTCATTTCACTTAGCATGATACTGTTTAGGTTCGTTCATGTCATCCAGTGTTTTTATGGCTGAGTAGAATTCCACTGTGTATATCAATATACACAGTTGTTATTTGTCAAGGTGTACCCCAACAAAGCCAGAAGATAAAATAGCTGAAAATATTTGAAAATGAAAATGAAAATAATATAGCCAAAGTCGTTAGGGGAATGATATACATTATATGTTCATATCCTAAATTATGTGTAAAAGCTGGGTTGCAGTCACACACAGACAGTATATAGCAGCGAGAATGCCCAGTTTATTGCTACATATTGTCATATGGACACAACTAGAAACATCATGATAATCCAAAAAAAGAGCCAGATTCACAAGAATACGCAGTGTGTGAGTCCATTTACGTGAAGGATGAGGAGAGCTAGGATAAACCTATTCTGCTAGACGTCCAGTTTGGGTAGTTAGCACCCCCGGAGGTGGGATCCACAGTTTGGCTCCATGTCGCTGACCCTCAGGACACTGATCTTTCAGAGGTCCAGAATGGAGATTCAGGCAAGCTTTGCATGATGAAATCTGTTTCTTAATCCATCTCGTCCCCACCCCAAGTAGGTTTTTCTAGGACCCAACATGGCAATATGCTGGAGTCCTACAGAAATCCAGATATTTAAAAACCACTGGGGGTGGGGGGAGGCTGGAAGCAAGAGGGAAAGGTGGGTTTGGCTGGGGTAAGAGAGGGAGTGGCTAGGGGAAAATGAAGACAACTGTAATTGAACAATAAAATTATTTTTAAATGACTAATTTATTTTATTTGATAGTGGAGCTAGCCTCTCTTTCATTAACGTAATATATTGTGACAGTGTCTTTTGCATATGTGAGAATAACTCCTTATCACTAAAAACATCCCATTGGCATGACCAGCATAGTAATAATGTGGTAAATTGCCTCTTAGCAGGACTACACATGAAGAGCAGAGGATTGGAGCTGAGAATCGTGCTGGTGGGCAAACAGGGACGGGCAGAAGTGCCACAGGGGACAGCACCATGGGGAAGCAAGCGTTTGAGCCCCAGCTGCCCTCCCAGACCTTTACTCAGACCTGCAGGGAGAGTGTGGGATGCTGGGGAGAGAGAACGGTGGTCGGTCATGGGCACAGTGGACCTGTGTTCAGGGAAGGACCGCTCCGATCCCCTGCTCGGAGAGGTGCAGAAGTGCTACCTGCTCTCGGACCAGGCCCCCATGTGCTCCTCCTGGTGATGCAGCTGCACTGTTTCACCGCCCAGGACCAGCAGGCTGCACAGAGGGTGAAGGCGGTCTTTGGAGAGGGTGCCATGAGACACACATTGTCCTCTTCAGCCACAAGGAGGACCTCGAGGGAGGCTCCTGGATGGAGTACATCCACCACTCGGAAAATAAAGCCCTAGGTAGGCTGGTGGCTTCGTGTGGGGGGCAACCATACGCCTTTAATAAGGGAGCCAAAAGGAGTGATGTGGAAGACCAAGAGAAGAAGCTGATGGACTTGAGGGAGGGCCTGGTGGTGGAGAGAAGTGGGGAGCCCTGTACCAGTGAGCTGTATGGCCTAGCGACAGGGCTGGAATGTGGACGTGAGTGGTCAGAGGAAAAATTGGAGGGCTTCAAAGGGTGCCTCGTAAAGTACATGGAAAAGCAGAGACGAGGCACAACCATGGCCAAAAGCAATTGCCTAAAAAGAGCCCCAATCCAAATGTGAGTGTGTTCTAGTTTGTATTCAGTTATCTGTCCGATTGCTACCTTGGTTATTTTGTGTATTGCTCACTATATGAAATTTTTTTACTACTTACTGTGTAGTATGTGCCATTTGTTTTGTAGATTATTGTTAATTATACTCAGAAAATCAGTGACAATTCCTGGGAAGACCATTGGTTTGGAATGCAAGACTCCCAGGTGACAGTTATTGATCAGTAATTATTATCACTGTCACAGAGTGAGGGAACCCCAGTGTCTCCTCTATAGAATGCGGTGCCAGACATCAGTGAATGGTTGAGATTTGGCAAAGTTTTAAAATCTTACCATCACTCAATTTATCAATGAACCAAATTATTTTTAAAATGACTGTTTTGAAATATAATTCCAAAACCTTCTGAAAGCTTAAACATAAAATTCCCTGTTTGCAAATGTCTAAAGCCAGTTTCATGTTCCTGGGAACTCCTTTTTCTTGGAAACACTATGATTTCCACTGAATGTAGTAAAGATAATGATAAACTTGCCTCCAGCTGGTGTGGCTCAGTGGAGTGAGTGCCTTGAGCTGGGAGGTCCCCAGATTGATTCCCAGTCGGGTCACATGCCTGGGTTGTGGGTCAGATCCCTAGTAGAGGGAGTGCAAGAGGCAAGCACACATCCATGTTTCTCTCCCTCTCTTTCTCTCTTCCTTCCCTTCTCTAAAATAAATCAACAAATTAACTTTAAAAAATACAATTTCTACTGAATATAATGAAATAACAATAAAAAATAAGATGTAAATGCCCTGAGATTTCACGTCTTTCATTCTGTTCAGGGGTCTTTTCCTCAGAAGATGGTAAGTAGACACGTGGCTCATTTCAACAATAAAACTAATTGTGTCCACTCAGCACACACAGACACACTCACACACCTGGTGTCTGTCATGGGAGCATCCTGATTTCTGCAACACAAAGCCATCAGGTGAACTCCTCTCTGACGGCTTGAGGGGGTTGTTCCAGCAGAAACGCCAACCCCTTTGGACTGAGGGCCAGACCAGCCTGTCATTGAAGTCCTTTGGCCAGAGACAAGGTATTCAACCCACTGCCTCCCCCCTTGGCCTTTCCTTACGTGGTGCCACCAGGAGAGAATGCAGTCACCTGCGGTCACCAGGTGGAATTAGACAGGGACCGTGAAGCAAGGACAGGGCTCAGACAGGGTGTGGGGGACGCTGAAAGTCAGCTGGGAAAGGCCTGACATCTGCTCTCTTGGGGGACAGACCCGTGAGGGAGTCACTGTCCTGAGGCTGGGGGGGGAAACTGAGAACAGAGGGGGATCTGTGCTTGGGGACTCAGTGATCACAGAATGTTCCATCGAGTTCATGGTGCCTGAGCGGCTGGAACCAACTGACTTGCAGAAGCCACAGTTTTGGGGGCAGGATGTCAGGAGTCGGAGGGGAGTGGCCCAGGCTCTCCAAGATGCTGATCCCATTTAGACACCACCTGGGAGAGATTAGTACCTGAAGCTTCCTCACTGATGTAACTGTCACAATCACCCTTCTGCCTTTTGCTTTGACGGCCCTGGGTACATGGGCTATAACTTCTGTTCCCCTGATTTTTCTGGATGCTTCTAGATCTGTGGGAGAAGGAAAAGACCCCAAAGAGGCTACGGTTCCTGCTGGTGGGGAAAATTGGAAGTGGTCGAAGTACCACAGGAAACAGTATCCTGGGCAGGGAAGCCTTCGAATCCAAGCTCAGCACCAGACCCGTGACCATGACCTTCCAGCTTGGAGGCTGAGACTGGGCTGGGAAGGAGCTTGAGGTGACTGACATCCCTGATATTCTGTCTTTTCAGGCTCCAAGAGAAGGGGCAGCTCAGGGCACCTGGGCAGCTGTCACCTGCTGCACCCCAGGGCCTCATGCAGTGCTGCTGGTGACACAGCTGGGCCGCTTCACAAAGGAGGACCAGGAGGTAGTCAAGCGCCTCCAGGAGGTCTTTGGGTTGGGTGTCCTGGCCCGCACCATCCTGGTATTCACTCAGAAAGAGGATCTGGAGGGCAGCTCCCTGGAGGAGTATCTGGGGACACTGACAACCAGGAGCTTGCAGACCTGGACGTGGTTTGTGCGAGGCGCCACTGTGGCTTCAACAATAGGGAAGATCATGCAGGGCAGGAGGCCCAGCTGACGGAGCTCATGGAGACCATCGAGGTGATCCTGTGGGAACACGAAGGCTGTCCTTACAGCAAGGAGGTGTTGCCAGCCCCATGTTCTGCACATAGAAGGGCAGGTAGGGCAGAGGGTTCAGACCGAGGCTCCGAGGAAGCAGCCACTGCAGAGTCCTGGCTGGAGGGGCTGTACAGAATCCAGGGCAACTGAGAAAACCCGCAGACATCTCCTAAAGGGGCACCGTCTGACTGTGTGCCTGACTCCAGTGGAACAGCCATTTCCTGGGAGCCTCGCCAGCCCTGGGTCCACCTCGAAGACTATCAGGTGCATCCCCTGCCCATGGACCACGGGCTCTTCAGGGCAGAGCCTGCTGAGTCAGAGGGTGTGGGTCCCAGAGTCCCAGCTCCCATCCCAGTCCTGCATCTCGCTCTCAGAGCCCGTGTGTGCCCTCCCTGCTCCCCTGCAGCCCACTGTCTCACACGGACCACACAGCACGATGGCATCGCATTTGTTGAAGTTCTTCTCCCTCCTCCAGTGAACCAAAGCTCCATGAGGGCAGGGCCTCCTCACTCTTCCATGTCACCCCCACTGCATTCTGGTCACTGGAGTGACTCCTTACCAATGACAGCAAATCAGTGTGTGCCATTGACCAGGTGACTGTCCAGTCTTGGTCTGTGTCCTCACCCACAGAGGGGGCAGCATAATGACTCTAAGGCACCTGAGTGTGTGGTGGGTCAGGACAGAGCCGTGGCTCTGCAGCAGGGGGGAGGGACAGCTGCTGGGTGGGGCAGGAGGACTGAGGGGAGACACCTGGTCCAAGGGGCAGCTCTTTCACTCACCCCTGAAGGCGGCCATTGAACCACAGCAAATGGGCCTTGTGGGGACTGCTGGTGGGAATGATGAGCCAAGTGGGGCCAGGGGGTCCAAGGAGCAGGGCCTGGTCAGGGTGGTGGCCCGAGACCTCCTACAGGACATGAGGCCCCAGGAGGTGTCAAGGGGGCTTGGGCAGAGGAGGAGCCTTCCCTGAAGCAGACTAGGTTAGAGATGCTATGATTAGGGTCCCCTCTCATCATATCTGCCTCCTGATGTTAGAAATTAAAGGTGGTTCTCCACCCTGTCTCAGCCTTACCTGCAGCCCTTCCATTCTCACTGGACAGTGGGGAGAGAGGGGGCATGGGGTCAGTGTCTGGGTGTGTAGTGGGGTCCCCTCTGAGGTATCTGTGGTGTCAGATAGAGGGGTGCAGGGAAGAAAGGGAAGCTGCAAAGGGAGCAGCTGAGGCTGTAAGCACGGTAGGAAGCACCTGCCTGATGAGTTGGGAGGACTCTGTGCCCCATGAGGGGTCTTCCTGGAGAGAAGCTCCTGGGGACAAGGCCACAGGAGGTGAGGTGGACCAGGACCAGAAGACATCAGGATGGTGGTCAGCCCTGGCCTGTGACTGGTAAGTGCCATGTGACCTCACAAAGAGACTGACACTCCTCAGATGCCCCTCAGCTTCTCCGAGGCTCAGGATGCTCTCTGGGGAGTCTGACCAAGTGATGGAAACAGGACAGGTGGGAACGAGGGAACTGCCCCCGACAGACTCCTCTGTCCCTTCTTCACACCATGTGACAGAGGGTCTCTAGCTGCCTTCTTCAGGGAGGGGTGGGAAATAAGGTGGAGTGACAGCATTTGGGGACAGTCAGCAATCAGAGAGGCAGCCGCAGGTCTGTCTGAGTGCTCACCTGCTTGTCAGAGATTCTCTGCCATCAGGGACCCCAACAGGACCCCTGGTCCCCCAGTGCAGAGGCCATGGACTCCCACTGTCCCTAGACATGGGGGACACCAAGAAAGCCAGTGTGTTTCATTGGCTGAAAGATTCAGAGAAGTGTCTCAGGGCAGAACAAGGACCCAGTTTTGTGGGCACCTGAGACAGATCCATTTACTCAATCAGCCATCCACAGGCCGTGGACGGAACCCAGCCATATTCCCTGTGACGTGTGCGTGCTGCCGAAGACCCGCATCAGGACTTCAGTTCTGTTCTGTCTTCTACTTTTCTCCTCCTGGTGCATAAAGTATTGATTTGATCACAATGGCTTTGCTTTCCCCATTATTGTATTTCCCTTGTTATTCTTCTACATGAAAATTAAAATCCCTGGTGTAACATTCAGAATGGGACCTTGTTGGCTTTCTGGTGGATTGGCTCCCACCCCTGCACAAGGGTTGGGCAAATGGTCAGTACTCAAGGTTGGAGGGTCAAGGTCATCATGTTTCTAAGGGAGAAGACTTGCTGCTTCAGAGCTATTGAGTCAAAGTTCAAACCATTTGCATTTCCATTAGGACAACAAGATAAATTGACTAAAGTGTGCTGTTTTATCTGTTAGCTTCTTTCATTTCATAATAGTAAGTACAAGCATTTCACAAATGACACTCATTCACTGATTCTCATTGGCAAGCCACTCAAACCATGGCATTCATGAAAAATTCTAAGGGAACGGTGTTTAAGTATATCAAATGTGATGTGCTCTCTCCTTTATTACTAAAAATCAGGGATGATGCCCCCCACAACATTCCAGGTGTAGGAACAGACACTGCTGTCACTTCATGGGGCTCCACAGGGCAAAGAAAGTCCAGTGAGGATCACTGCAGTCCTGGGCCCTCCACTGTCTGTGCATCATGAAGAAAGACCTGGTGGGGTGGGGCTGGGGCAGGGAGAGAGAAGCTGTCTTGGTCAAGGCTGTGAAAATGGTTAACATTAGTATTTTCAACAAGTATCTAAACACTGGAGGAATGATTGAAAAGCCAGGGTCTGTGCCACGTGAAGGGCCCAGTGAGTACGTGCTTGTTTCCTGTGTGGATCGATCCAGGGGCTCAAAGCCTCAAGGAAGGATCCCAGCTCCCAGCTCCCCTGGAACACCCTTGATGAGTTATGGGAAAAATATAAAATAATGACTTTAAAACATCTGTTTGAAGGCACCAGAAGTGACCAAACACAGACCAGCACTCTAGGGGACTTGACCCTTAGTCAGAACCCTCTGGTCAAGATAAGGGGCCACACCACTGCCACATTGATGGGGTTTCCCCACCACAGCACACCAGGCCCTGGTGGCCCAGGAACAGCCTTCAGGCAGAAATTCACGGTGACTAGAGGGAAGGCTGGTGGCATCTGGAGGCAGCCAGAGCAGGCAGAAGTTGATGGGGAGGCCCACCAAAATAACAGAGCCACAGAGGGGGTGGGGCTTTAGAAATTCTGCATGTTAAAATTAAAATTCTGCATATTAAAATTCTGTATTACATTTGTTGATTTGCGATGCTTTCACCACTTCTATTCAACATATTATTGTAAGTCCCAGCCACAGCAATCAGACAAAAATAAGAAAGAAAAGACATCAAATTTGGAAAGAAAGAAGCAAAACTGTCATTGTTTGCAGATGACATGATAGTGTACATAGAAAATCCTATAGAATACACCAAAAAACTACTCGACCTAATAAGTGAATTAGGCAAAACAATGGAATACAAAATCAATATTCAGAAATTGAAGACACTTTTGCATACCAACAATAAAATATCAGAAACAGAAATCAGGGGGAAAATCCCATCTGATATCGCAACAAGAAAAATAAAGTACTTAGGAGTAAACTTAACCAAGGAGGTAAAAAACCTGTATTCAGAAAACTACACAACACTGAAGAAAGAAATTAAGGAAGACGCAAACAAATGGAAATGTGTACCATGTTCATGGATTGGAAGAATTAACACCATCAAAATGTCCACATTACCCAAAGCAATTTATAGATTCAATGTAATCCTTAATAAAATACCGATGACATATTTCACACATATAGAACAAATATTTCAAAAATGTATATGGAACTATAAGTGACCCCAAATAGCAGCAGCAATTTTGGGAAAGAAGAACAAAGTAGGAGGTATCACAATACCTGATATCAAACTGTATTACAAGGCCACAATAATGAAAACAATCTGGTACTGGTATAAGATCAGACACATAGAGCAATGGAGCCCAAATAGAATAGGGAGCTCAGAAATAAACCCGTCTCTATGGTCAATTCATATTCAACAACATGTGTGCAAGCATAAATTGGAGTAAAAATAGTGTCTTCAACAAATGATGTTGGGAGATCTGGACAGCTACATGCAAAAAAAAAAAAATGAAACTCGACCACCAACTTAGACCATACACAAAAATAACCTCAAGATGGATAAAGACTTAAATATAAGCGACAACACCATAAAATTCCTAGAGGAGAATATAAGCAGGAAAATCTCAGATATTCCACACCGCAATATTTTCACCTGTATGTCCCCTAGAGCTAGGGATATAAAGGAAAGAATAAAATGAGATTTTGTTAAAATAAAAAGCTTCTGCATGGCTAAAGAAAATATCAGCAAAATGAAAAGGGAACCAACTATATGGGAAAACATAATTGCAAATGGTACCTTGGACAAGGGTTTGATCTCCAAAATATATAAAGAACTCACATGGCTGCACTGCAGGAAGATAAGGAGCACAATTAAAAAATGGACAAAGGACCTGAACAGACACTTCTCCAAGGAGGACATAGAGAGGGCCCAGAGACATGAAAGGATGCTCAGTATCACTAGCCATCAGAGAGATGCAAATTAAAACCACAATGAGATACCACCTCACACCAGTCAGAGTGGTCATCATAAACAAATCAACAAACAACAAGTGCTGGTGAGGATGTGGAGAAAAGGGGACCCCAGTGTGCTGTTTGTGGGAATGCAAACTGGTGCAGCCACTGTGGAAAACAATATGGGATTTACTCAAAAAACTAAAAATGGATCTGCCTTTTGACCCAGCAATTCCACTGCTGGGACTATATCCTAAGAACCCTGAAACACCAATTCAAAAGAACCTATGCACCCCAATGTTCATAGCAGCACAATTTACAATAGCCAAGTGCTGGAAGCAACCTAAGTGCCCATCAGTAAATGGGTGGATCAGAAACTATGGTACATTGACATGTTGGAACACTATGCAGCAGAAAGAAAGAAGGAGCTCCTACCCATTGCAACAGCATGGATGGAACTGGAGAGCATTACGCTAAGTGAAATAAGGCAGGTGGTGAAAGATAAATATCATATGTCTCACGTATAAGTGAAACCTAATCAATAAAACAAACAAGGAAGCAAGATATAACAAGAGACATTGAAATAAAGAACAAACTGACAGTAATCAGAGGGA